ATATATAAGTACATTGGTGTGTGTGTGTGTGTTCCCCTTTCCTGTTTATATATAAGTACATTGGTGTGTGTGTGTGTGTGTGTGTTCCCCTTTCCTGTTTATATATAAGTACATTGGTGTGTGTGTGTGTGTGTGTTCCCCTTTCCTGTTTATATATAAGTACATTGGTGTGTGTGTGTGTGTGTGTGTTCCCCTTTCCTGTTTATATATAAGTACATTGGTGTGTGTGTGTGTGTGTGTGTTCCCCTTTCTTGTTTATATATAAGTACATTGGTGTGTGTGTGTGTGTGTGTGTGTGTATTCCCCTTTCCTGTTTATATATAAGTACATTGGTGTGTGTGTGTGTGTGTTCCCCTTTCCTGTTTATATATAAGTACATTGGTGTGTGTGTGTGTGTGTGTGTTCCCCTTTCCTGTTTATATATAAGTACATTGGTGTGTGTGTGTTCCCCTTTCCTGTTTATATATAAGTACATTGGTGTGTGTGTGTGTGTGTGTGTTCCCCTTTCCTGTTTATATATAAGTACATTGGTGTGTGTGTGTGTGTGTGTGTGTTCCCCTTTCCTGTTTATATATAAGTACATTGGTGTGTGTGTGTGTGTGTGTTCCCCTTTCCTGTTTATATATAAGTACATTGGTGTGTGTGTATTCCCCTTTCCTGTTTATATATAAGTACATTGGTGTGTGTGTGTTCCCCTTTCCTGTTTTTATATAAGTACATTGGTGTGTGTGTGTTCCCCTTTCCTGTTTATATATAAGTACATTGGTGTGTGTGTGTTCCCCTTTCCTGTTTATATATAAGTACATTGGTGTGTGTGTGTTCCCCTTTCCTGTTTATATATAAGTACATTGGTGTGTGTGTATTCCCCTTTCCTGTTTATATATAAGTACATTGGTGTGTGTGTATTCCCCTTTCCTGTTTATATATAAGTACATTGGTGTGTGTGTATTCCCCTTTCCTGTTTATATATAAGTACATTGGTGTGTGTGTATTCCCCTTTCATGTTTATATATAAGTACATTGGTGTGTGTGTATTCCCCTTTCCTGTTTATATATAAGTACATTGGTGTGTGTGTGTGTGTGTGTGTATTCCCCTTTCCTGTTTATATATAAGTACATTGGTGTGTGTGTGTGTGTGTGTATTCCCCTTTCCTGTTTATATATAAGTACATTGGTGTGTGTGTGTGTGTGTGTTAGTCCTTCCTGCAGCCTTTAGGTTTAGTTTTGGTGTCTTAGTTTCTTAGGGTTATTTGGCCCTCTGTTTCTGTTTCCCATTTTGATTATTAGGTTCACCTGTCTTCCCTCCAGCTCTCACTTCACACACCTGCTGCCATTTTCCCTGATTGCTCCTCCCAGTGTATTTAAGCCCTGTCTGTCTCTGTGTTCTTGTCGGTCCATTAATGTTTGTTGATTCTGTCAGTTTAGTCCCTCTGTGTTTAACCAGAGTTTCTTGATTCCCAGATAATAATCTGCTCTTTGACCTTTGGGATTTTTGGCTTTTTGGATTTTGACTCCCAGTTTGGATTACCTTGGTTTTTGGCTCACCCACAAAATAAAGACTTTTTATTTAAAATCTTCATCCCTGCCTCCGTGTCATCCTGGGTACTGCATTTTGGGTCCACACCACCGCATCGTGACAGTATATTTTTTTCTCAACATAAAGAATCATTTTAATCACAATTGAAACGTACAACCCTAGAAAAACTCGTCCGACCATTGTGCACATCCTGTTCTCACTGATTGGATAGAAATCCCTCCATCAAACTGTGTGTGCGTGCGTGCGTGCGTGCGGGGTGTCTCACCTTTTTCATCCTTGACCCGCTTTCATGTCTGATTTTTAATGAATTAGACATCTGAGTCGTCATAGATGGTGTTCAGATTTTTAGTCGTTTGCAGTCGGTGGCTCATTCATGCATTCACAACATTGTTTGGACTCATGTATGCAATCAACTTGAAATATCCAGACCAGTTGAAATACACATTTGAAGCACTGCAAAAAATTGTGATGGACATTGAGTCAAAGAAAATATCACAGCGAGTTGGTAGCCTCCATTCCAAACGTCGGAGTTTAGTCTAACCTCAGGTCCTTAGTCCATACTTGGGTCTCATTTCAGTCCTGGTTCAGTCCACGCCCATGTCTTAGTTCAGTCCAGCCTCAGGTATTATTTCAGTCCTGGTTCAAGTATTTCAATCCAGGCTTGGGTATTAGTACAGTCTTGAGCACTCACATTTTATGCTCTGTGTACATTTGTTTGACAAAACAGAGTGTCAAGATGTTTTCACATGCCTGCACAAAAAAAAAGATTGTAAAAAATTTCTAAACAAAGTAAATGTATTGTTTCAATGAGAGAAACAAATCTTGCGTGGTCTCAGATGTCATATTTCTACAGTTACATGATTAAAGAACTTGGAAATTTTTCCTTTGAACCAAAGTAACAATCGTTTAGGAATCCTAACTATTTTAGGTGTAAAAAAATTGAAGAACATTATTAAGTTGATCCAAAGTAAGACTTTCTCAACCAAAGGATAATAGTATATTGCAGTAATTCAAAATAATGCATTTAGATAGGGTGATAAAGTACATTAAGCAGATGAAAAAAGGTTCATTGTATAGATTAATATTGTTACATTGTCATACAGCGGAATATGGTGGAATTCGTTCAGCCAGAGTAAAAATACACATTCTAGTAATTGAAATGTATCCATTGTGAAAACTTAAAATTTTGAGTTAAAGTCTTCATTGCACCCAAAAAAAAGTTCAAGGAAAACAAACTATTTTAGGTGTTAATAACTGAAGAACTTTTTAAAGTTGGTCTAAAGAGAAACATTTTTCAGTGAAACACCACCGACAGGGTCATCATGAATGAACCCGAGAACTGCATGTGAGCACCTGTTGTCATCTAATGTTGTCATTATTTTGATGAAGATGTACAAACAACAGTCTCCTCCTCAGCTCAGAGCTCCGCAACTCCATGATGCAGGAATCTGGCTGGAACAGGTGAGCATCACATCTGGCCCGTGGGCCTTGTGTCTGACACGTGGTGTAGACTCTTACAAGTGTGTGCGATTTCTGATGAACCACTAAACAATTAATTTTCCAGAAAAAATTAATTGAATTTCCTCTACAGTAATTAACTTTAGCAGTCAGCCTAATTTAAGGATGCTGGTCAAAGCTAGTTAATGTTAGCAAACACAACAACAATGCTATGATGCAACAGATTTTGCAGATGCTTTTATAAAATTTGATTGAATCGTTCACAATCCTCTGAGTGCTAAAAATATTACCCTTTTTTTCAACATAAGGAAATTTTAGTTTATTCTTGCATTCAGTCCTTCAACCCCCAACCCATTTCCACCTTCTCAGTCCAGCATCTAGTGTTGTGTGTGCTTGAAGGATTATAAATTCAATGGTTAAATTATTCCTTATGGTAATTTCCTCTGATTCTAATGTGCCCATAGGTGTAAAACCTGGTTTAAATGCTTACATTTATTTGTTAAAGTCCATTCATTAACCTTTATTTTTACTTACTAATTCACTGCAGTCAAGCACAATTCTCTTTTAGCACATCCAGCATACATTCATTTTTGAAGGTTTTTTTTTTTTTGACAGCTCCATCTTCCAGGTCCAGGGAGTGGCCTGGGGTAGCACATGCCACCCTTGGAATTTGATTGGCCACCTCAGGTGCCACCTCACTAATTTAATTTTAAATAGGCTTTTCATAGTCTACAAAAGGCTTGGGGGTAAAACAAAAAAAAAAAAAAAAGCATAACCATTGATGCCACCCATGCACAAAGCTGTGCCTCACCTGGGCCACCCCATTTTAAAAGATCTGGACACGACACTGCCATCTCCATCTGAATGTCTTTGAACAAATGATCCACCTCTTTATATCCTGCAGACTGGATTACTGTGGGCTTGAACTGTCAACCATTCATCAACTACAGCTGCCCATTGAGCCCCAGAAAGGTTGGAGTCCCAGCAACTTGCTTCCTGTGTTTTAATGATTAACTTTTTTTGTTCTTCCGGGGACCCATGGTCCGGAAGTAGATGGGCGGGACTTAGGCTCCCTATGGAGCGCTGTCTGTCACCTATGACAGATTGTCACTATGGTAAAGCTATGGAATCTTGCGTTACCATAGTTACTGCTCAAGTGCATCATTTAAAATGCTTTAATATTAAGGCTAGGACCTTTCAGACTTCAGTATATGTTCCATCTCGAGTGAGTAGGACCTTTTCTCTGTGGTCTCTGTGTTTGCTGACTTTAGTCTTCCAGAGAGCAGCTCTAGCAGGTAATAAAACTACCCAAAAACAAACCAGCCCAACATCTGACATGTTTAGACATTTAGATTTATCTGAAGTTTTTCCTGTGCTTTACTGGGAGACTTTAACGTCATTTATATAAAATACACCTGCTGGAAAAAACAAATTAAACAAAAATCCCTTAAGTAGGTCAGATTACAGATAAACAGTCAAGATAAAACTACTTTGAATCTGAAATATGAGTTATAAACGTACATTTCTATAATGCTATCTGCCATGTACAGCAATGGTATCTGGAGAAGGGACTGATCTTTATTTCTGCACCAGTTTGTCAGAAATATAAATAAATGCCACTTTTTCATCAGTGAATAAATTATAACTATAATAACATTAAGTGAACAAACTATTTTGACTTGTTTACATTTAAAACTGGATCCATCAGCTAATAGAAGAGTCATTTGGCTTGATTTAGCAAACAGAAAAGTCAAGAGGCTCAACTGCAGGTTATCTTTATGTACGTATTTAACTTCTAAGTAACTTATTGTTACATGTTTCATCTGTTAATAAGTTATAACTTTAATAACATTAAGTGAACAAACTATTTTGACTTGTTTACATTTAAAAATGGATCTAGTGTTTAACAAGTTCCTGATTAAAAAGAGCAAAGGCTGCTGAATAAACCACATAGAGTAGAATAAAGTGATTTCTCCAGCTGTGCTTTTATAATCTAGATCTACATGCAGTGGCTTCTATTCGCTGTAGTGATGCTGAGAAATCCTTTTTGTTTCCATCTTCGTTTGATCCTAAAAGTGTGTTTCTGAACGAGCCGGATAAGAAAACTAAGCACAGCCTGATGTAAACAGCACAATTGAAAGTTTCTCTTCACAGATCTGAAACCTGCTGAGACAAGAACGTAAAGTATCTCTAGTGAGACTGGGTCGGGTTAAAACATGAAGAATAAACTCAATTCACAACTAAAATCCAAACATTTCACTTAGTGAAGTAAAAACACAAGCTGGACATGAAATAGTTCACATGTAACAGAAGCTATTGCCTCAGTCGCTGTGATAAACATGAATCTGACTGTAGAAACTGATCAGAGATCAGTTTGTTACCAGTAAAAGTGGATGTGATGTTTCCTGTTCGATGTCTCTGTTGCAATGATGTCTGACGTCTTGTGACAGGTTTTAAAGCTTCTTCTTTTTCTCATCCTTTGTCACATAAAGATGGAGGAAAACATATGCCTCTTGGAGAGTTTTGAGAGGTACATGGAGGACTTGGAGAGAGAGAGAAGGAGCTCTTCTCCCTTCTGGACGAGATCTTTCAGGAGTACCAGCCTTCTTCTTTTCCTCCTCCACCTTCTCCTCTTGAACATCCTCCCTCACCTTTCCTTCCTTCTTTTGCTCCTGCATCATATCCCCCTCCTCCTTCTCCTTTTTAGCTCCTACTTTCTCCTACTTCTTTTCTTTACCTCCCACCCTCTCCTCCCGTTGTTTCTTCTTCTGCCTTCACCTCATACTCCCACTGTCCCTTCTCTGCCACCATCCCTTCTTCCTAGCACTCCACCTGCTGCTCCTGCCTCTGCTCCAGTCTCCAACCCAAAGTAAGTTTTGAATTGACCATTTCAGAATAATATATCTATAAAGTTTACCACATTTCCAGGATGTAGATGGTGACAGGTTTGTGTTGTGTTTTGTCTCTGCAGTAAGAGAAAGCGTGAGCACCAGCAGGAGGACCGTCCCTATGTGAAGAAGCCACCAAATGCCTTCATGATCTTCCTGCGGGACCAGAGGTCCAAGGTGGTGGCTGAGCTGAATCTGACAGGCAGCACTGCTGTCGTGGGCCAGAGGGTAAGTGTGTTTGCTACAGAATGATAATGATTTTGCTTCCTTGGATTATTGTTCACCAACAGCTTGTCTCACTGTCTTCTGTTCACAGTGGAAGGAAATGTCTCCAGAGCAGAGGAACGTCTACTTCCACCAGGCTCACAAGTGTAGCGTTGTTAATCTACATAACTAGAATTTAACGCTTTTGCAATTCAGCTTTGTTACATTCTGAGAAAGATCAAACGAATTGGCAATGAAACTTGCTTGGTCTATATTTAATCAAAAGATTAATATTTAATTTAAGATTTAATTTAATAGCAAAAGTTTATTTATTAATTCAGAAGATCTAAAGAGATCTTTGCTCGTTCAAAGACCAAATGCACTACTCTGTGTTTTATTTCAAAGAAGAGTCAGGTTTAAAATGTTAAGAATTTATTACTAACAATTTAAAGATGACAATTTAAAAGACAATTCATAAATGACAATTTATAAAAGCTTTGGTATTAAAAACTTGGTATTAAAAACTTGGTATTAAAGCAATCTGTGTCTGGATGAAACTAAACATGAAGTGCGTGTGTTTGAATGTGTGAATGTAGGTCTCAGAAGGTTTTTATCTCAGAGAGAGAAAAACGCGTTCTGGGTGAAAGAATTTGGTTTGCAGTTAAGCTAAATTATTTCTTAATAAAAGAGGCATTCAGACGCAATCTATGTTCTACCTCACCGTACAGACGACCCTCTGTTCAGATCCGGAGGTCAAGGGAGGATTTTGATCAGCCTCTGGGTACCCGGTCCGGTAGGGAAGACCTGTGATACCGACTCTCTGGTCCTAGAGTTGCCGCAGGCACACAGGTGTGGAATTGGTTTGCATCTGAGCAGAATCTTAAGGAATCTCGTAGCGTCAGCTTTGCTGCAGATGGTGTTTCTGTTGAAGCAATTCTATCGGCATGACAGAAAAGCTTTAGTAGAGGTTTCGAACGTCCGACTCGATCCTCTGGACTCTCGTTGCCACGGAGAGAATTTGGTGAGCTCAAGAACTGAACTTGAACTGAGGAGTTAGGTTTTAAGAGACGGCCGGTAATCTTATTCTAATGAATTAGATTTTGACATACCTAGGAACACGCCCTCTCAGAGACAGAAAGTTCTGGGTTGTCATGTGACAAAGACATGTGAGTGCAGTTAACCTTAACCTGATTTACTGTCTCTTGCATGATTGCGTATAAGTGCAGATGATCTTCTTGTTACTGTTAAACGTTACTGATTATCATAAATAATAATTATTATTAACCAAAGAATAATAATTCATTTCAGTAATTAAATACATTTAAAATGAACCTTGATGATTATATATGAACATTGTAATAGACAGTGAAAAGAGTTTATTAAAAATGATTCTTTTAAATCTTGAAGTGTCCTTCGTCTTGCGGATGGAACAGTTGCTGTACAGGACATTTTTAGAGTTTTTCCTTTTAAAGATAAATAGTATTACATTTAAAGAGCAATACTTTCACATTATCATTTTCCCACACTTTACGGGTTTTTTTTAGCACACAAATATCTATCTGTAAAAAATATCTACAAAGCATAGGCGTCATTTTAACCGGGGACGCCGGGGACATGTCCCCGGCAAAATTTGTGATTAGCAGCTGTGTCCCCCCCACTTTAAAAAATGCCTGCTTATGAGGATTTTTGTTTTACCAGCTCAGATCTTATACCAGGGGTCGGCAACCTGTTCCCATCAAAGAGCCATTATTACCCATTTCCCACAGTAAAGAAAACACTGGGAGCCACAGCGGCCTCTGCGTTGTGGGCGGGGCCTACCCTCAGACAGCAGAGAGTTGCTCACAACATGACAGCAGCCGGTACCAGTCGCTCGCATGGGCGTCGCACCCGTGGGGGATTCAACACCCACACTTTTCCAGCTGTTTTGCTCACCTCCACACCAGTCTGGATACTTTACGTCACACTCACTCTGTTTGCCTCATCTCCTTCCTCACCTCCCGCTTCTGACAGCCGATGTCGGGTTTCCAGGAGAGCAGGAGAGGGAGGGACGGAAGAGCTCGCCTGAATTCATAATTTTACATCTTGACATTAGCTGTACAAAGTCTGAGTTTGATAAAGTGAAGAACAACAATTTGCAGAGGTTTATAACAGGCGCGGCGCCAGGTTTTCATTTTTGGATGGGCCACGGTAATTCTGGACGGACCTTAATAAGCAGTGACTTAGTGAAGCAGGCAGGTCGCGCTAGAAAATTTAGTTTAAAAAGACGTCATAAATGTTTTACCCCGTCATTTTTATTTATAAAATATGAAGAAAAAACTCACAATTTAATTTTCATTGATTTGTCATTAATATTTAGTCTACAACCGTGCATTAAGTGGACCATCTTCCAGTAAAAGCAAAGCTTCCAGCCCACCTCTCCAAATGCGTAAAATGTGCATCAGCTGCTAGTTAGGCGCGCCGCGCGCACTGTCAGCCCAGACAAGAGCAGAGCAAATAGAGAAAGAATAGAGGATAATTGTGTCTGGATGTGGATGGAGATTACGTTTTACAGCAGCCTGATCATCGTTTAAATACGTAAACCATCACCTGTCTTCTAGTCCACGCTATCAGCATTATTTTAATTGGTGTGTGTGTGTGTTTTCCACTTCAAACACTGGTCTAACCAACCAGACCAGTGTGTCCAGTAACATATTAATGTTACAATTAAACAGTTTCACTTCATGTAGGCTAGGAACATTTCACCTGCCATGGCCCGACCGCTTCTGCTCCACATAAACTTTGTGCGTAATCAAATGTCTCTACAGGAGCTTTCTGAGCTGAAGAGCTATTCTGCCTCAGACTGGATGCGTCATGCGTCTCCATATTAGAGACGGGAACAAGCGCTGTTCAGCCAAAGTTTCATAATTTCATAAAAAGAACATTTTTCCAGGTGACATCCCTCAGAGAGACCGGGTTTCGCATCAGTGTGCGTCGGGGTAATTCTTTAAAACAACCAACATCCTTGAGTTTATCCGTCAATATGTGGCAAGGTGGAGAAACGAGGGCCCGGGCGGGATTCGATCCCCAGACTCCCAGGTGAAAGTCTTACGCTCTAACCAGTCAGCCAAAGGGACAACCCCTTGGCCAAGTAGCCAGGGCGCATTATTTATCGGGACACTGTGACAGGACACTCACGCTGCCACACCTGATTATGAAACTTTGGCTGAATAATGCTTGTTCCTGTCTCCAATGTGGCACCGCATCCAGGAACCTGTCTGAGGAGAAGCCCAGAATCTGACATCCTTCAGTTCAGGAAGCGCCTATGATTACGCACAAGCGTGACGCGTCAACCCGGTCTCGCAGTAAGACCGGGTTGGAACTGTTCAGGTTTACGCAGACAATCTTTACATTTAGAATTGGCATACAGATGTAAAATTAATGCAGTAAAATATAAAGCTTTTTATTTAAATATCCATTCATTATTTTACAAGCACAGAGAGCCGCATCAGATGGATGGAAGAGCCACATGCGGCTACAGAGCCGCCGACACCTACTTTATTGTCCCCAGCAATTTTTAAACCCCACTCAAGTGTATGGTTATTGTCCCCAGCAATTCTGAAAACAAACTGACGCCCTTGCTACAAAGCTAATATTTACTTGGATACATAACAAGTGTGATTGTGTTTTGCAATACGGCAGCCTCTAAGGTTTGTTTTAGTAAGATTTTTAAACCAAGTAAAGTTAGTAAAGAACACATTTCAATTGGCTGCTAAGAAACTGTTGGACTTAAAATGGGCCTGTTGTAGAAATAACTTGGCATAAATGATTCTTCCCTCCTTTTTTGTCTTAACCAAAGAAATTGCAGTAATTCAGCAAAAACTTTTATTTTTTTACATCACTTTTTATAAAACAACAGGACACAAAGTGTTGGTACATTTAAAAAAAAGTTAAATAATAAAAAGGGCCCAGACAGCTGCAGAGTGAATGGAACATTGGGTTGTGAAGGGAGAACAGAGTTGTCAACAGTGTTATGGCTATAGATAAATTATATCAACACATTCGCCCACTTGCCCATCAGTCAATGACGACTACAGACCGGTTGCCCTGACATCCCACATCATGATGGTCCTGGAGAGACTCCTGTTGGTCCACCTGAATAAGCAAACTAGAACATATCAGGACCCGCTGCAGTTTGCTTATCGCCATGGAGTTGGAGTTGAAGATGCCATCATCCAGCTGCTTCAACCAATCCACTGTCAGCTGGACAAAGCAGGCAGCACTGTGAGGGTCATGTTCTTTGATTTCTCCAGTGCATTTAACACAATCCAGCCTGATGTACTTTGCCAGAAACTCCAGAAGACACAGGTGGGGGCCTCAACTATCGCCTGGATTAAAGACTACCTGACAAACAGACCACAGTTTGTGAGGCTGAATAACTGCACATCAAACCAGGCGATCAGTAACATTGGAGCACCACAGGGGACTGTACTCTCACCATTCCTTTTCACCGTGTACACCTCAGACTTCCAGTACAAATCAGAGACCTGTCATCTACAGAAATACTCAGATGACTCTACAGTTGTCGGGTGTATCAGAGATGGACAGGAAGCTGAGTACAGAGAGCTGGTGGAGCGCTTTGTGGCATGGTGTGGAAACAATCATCTGACCTTGAACGTGAACAAAACAAAGGAGATGATTTTAGACTTCAGAAGAAACAGGGTGGAGTCAAACACTGTTTCCATCATGGGAGAAGAAGTGGAGGTGGTTGAGGAATACAAATACCTTGGAGTTCACTTGGACAACAGACTGGACTGGAGAAAAAACAGTGAAGCTGTTTACAAGAAGGGACACAGCAGACTGCACTTCTTGAGGACGCTTAGGCCCTTCAATGTCTGCAGCAAGATGCTGCACATCTTCTACAAGTCTGTTGTTGAGAGTGTAATCTCTTCAGCCATCGTCTGTTGGGGTAGCAGCATCAGAAGCAGGGACCTGAAAAGGCTCAACAGCCTAATAAAAAGGCTGCTTCTGTTCTGGGGACGACTGTGGAACCACTGGAGGAGATAATGCAAAGAAGGATTCTCCAGAGAATCAAGAAAATGATGGACAACCCTGAGCATTCTCTTCACAAGACTGTCCGACAATGGAAGAGTGTCTTCAGTCAGAGGCTTCTTCAGTTTCGCTGCAACACTGACCGCTACTGGAGATCCTTCCTGCCAACAGCCATTGTAATATACAACAACTCTTTGATGACTTGATTATTATTATTATTCTGAGCTACTACAG